AAAGGATTGAGTGTCGTTTTGAGTTATGGACTGTAAAGTGTCCTGTATTGAAAGGAGAACATAATTTTTTAAGCAAGTATTTATGCTAAATATTATATTTTATTTATTTAGATTTTTAAGTGGGGTATAAGTTGATGTTTTTAGAAAGAATTAGGGGAATTTTTTAAATAACCAGAAATTAAAAATTAAAATATTTTTTTTTTTTTCGAAATTATAATAAATGTAAATTTTTCTGTATTAATTACTTTAATTTTTAAGAAGTAAGTTTGTTTGATATTAAATATAAAATAATAGTTTAGAATTTATAATAAATTATTTATATTTAGATGTATTTAATTTATATATAAAGTATTGAAAATTTTTTTTAATTACCAAAAGGCTTTTAAAAAAATTTGCTTAATTTAAGGATTAATTATTATATTTTATATTTATATATATTATATTATTTTTATATTTTATTTATTTCTTATATGTATAATAATGACAAACAACCAATTTTTTTTATTTAAATAATGTAAACATTTTTAAAATTAATTTACTTATTATTCAACTTCAACTTTAATAAGCTTTACTTAAGCTTTTAATATTATTTTTCAAATTAATCTGTATAATCAAATTTCAAAATATTTAAATATTAAATATTTAGCTCAAACAATCAATATATTTTATTTAAAAATACTTCAAAAATACCTTTTATATCTTTGTATTCTCCCCCTGCTTCCCTCTCAACCCTTTATGCTACCCATAATTTTTTTTCTCGCTGATTACATGTCTGAGCATATGCTAGTATGTCCCGCAGGATCATCATGGGTATCCTTAAAAGCGACTGGCAGCGCCCATCTTACGTGTCAGTGAAGCCACGAAACACCGTCAATATATACATATATACGTGTCTGTGTGTGTGTTGCACTCTTCCTTGGACTTCTTCTGGTCGGATGCTGTTCTTTTTAATTTCCAAATGCTCTCTGCCGCAGTTGAGGGAAAGTGGGAAAAGTCCCTGATGCTGCAGTTTCGCACAACGTCTGTTTCATGGGGTGTTCCCCAACCCCATTTCTTCTTTTTTTTTCTGTGTGTCAAGCCATTGGAATTAGTGGAGCAGCTAGTGGCCCCCAAAAACCTGAACCGTAGCGTGTTGCGAATTCCAGACAACTTGGGTTCAAGCTTTCAGGACTCGGCTTTTCGGGCTCTCAAACTCTCGAGATCTCAGCACTCAGTCAGCAGGTTCGTGTCCTGCCGAGGCTCTAATGAATTTGCATTTTTTATAAATCCCCATTGATGTGCTCCAGTTCTGGTCCGAGGCGTGGCCAGGCGATTGCACTTTTCAACTACTAATACCCAGTGGCTTTTTTGGGGGGTATTTTTATGGGGTATATTGGGGAAAATATTTTTTTTAATATTTTAAATTTAAGTTTACATATTTGGAATATATTAACTAATTATTTAATATATTTGAAATTATAATTTCATGTTTAAATTGTATATGTATTAATTTACTTATAAATTACAAAACAAGTCTTATTAAATAAATTTAAATTATTATATTTATAGCTAATTTTTTTAAAGTTAAATTATTAAAATTATTAAATTTTTTAATATTTTCTAAATAATTTAAAGAGGTATTTTAAATTTAATAATTTTAATATTTTAAAAATGTAATAAAAAGAAATAGCTTTAACTAGAAATAATTTTTTTTTTACTAAATTATTGTAGCTATTAAATTTTTAAATATCTTATAAATTATTTAGAGAGCAATTAAAAAATTTAAAAAATTTTAATAATTTTATAAAAAGAATTAGCTATAACTATAAATATTTTTAAAATTTTTAAATTATTGTAACTATTAAATTTTTAAATATTTAAAGAGGTATTTCTAATTGGTAACCAAATATTTTTCTTGCTGCCCGGATTTTTGCCAGCTTGTTGCATTTGCCCCGTGTGCGGCGCGGGGGGTGCATGGCATATGAACACGCCTAGTCAGGGTATTAAGAGTGTGTTCAAATCCCCCTTCCCATCAAAAAAAAAAAAAAAAACAACTCTACACTCCACTCGAAAAACCGGAACACATCCTATGTACGCACTGACTGGACACTGAGTGCAGTTGAATGTTGGGACAAGCTGGGAAATGGTGAATTTTGTGCTCAATCAAATCAAAGTCAGCCACACCTTGCAGACGGCAGAGGGTTCACTGAGAGAAAAAAGGGTAGAGTTTATAAAAAAAAATTGCTTGGACATTTTTGGGCTATAATAAACTGCTTGATAAATTTTTTATATCAAAATTTTAGGAAATATCAAAGACTTATAACTCTTAAAATAATGCTTTAAAAATTATTTAAAAAGTTTTTTATATTTTCAGTATTATAATTAATATAAATATATCTATTTTTTAATTTTAAATAAATTAATATATTTAAATTCAAATCATAATAATTTTTCCGAATAAAATAAAATAAAATATATCGTTTTTTTAAATTTTAAATATAACAACTGAATTAATACATTTTTTTCCTTATATAAAAAAAATATATATAATTATGTTTAAATTTTAAATATAAAAATTTATTAAAATTAAATTGAAAATAATTCTCTAGACTTTTGGCTCAGTGCACAATCAAGGCGTCCAGGTGGTGTCCGAAAACACTGCATGCCTAATAAATTATGGCCCCTAAAATGGCCAACCGAGTGAATGAGTCGAATGACTCATGAATACTACTGCTGGCTCGCTAGCCTTGATTTGTTTGTACCCGATGGCAGGTCCTGATTATGTTCACAGTTAATTGGATGCACTGCCCAGCTCAGCTCAGCTCCTTCCTCGATTTCCATTTCTTGGTTTTTTTCTTTTTTCTTTTTTTGCTTTTGGCTTTTAGTCATGGGTCATCGGGCATCGATGGGTATTTCCCCAAGGGCGTCATTAGCCAAACCCCCAGAAGTCTTAAACTCAAATTAAAAAGGGTAGCCGCTGGCCTTTCTTTTTTTTTTTTTTGGATTTTGCCAAGTTAAAGCTTTAGGCCTGGCTTCTTAGCCTGATGGCATTAACTACAAGTCGTTATTATTGTCTAGGGTTTTCCTTGCGGCAAAGAGCTTGCCTCTGTCTAGAATTCCAATTTGTATTTGGATTTCGGATGGGCGTTAATACGACGCACTGGCCACGATGACGATGACGATGACGACAATGTTGATTTTGTGAAGGGACTGGGGAGCAACTCACTCATGTGTGATTGCTAGTCAGTGTGTTTGTGCAGGGAAAACCATTTCCTTGAGTTTTCCGCACAGCAAGGTTAAGGGGCTTAGGAGTGTTGGATTTTTAAGAATTTAATTTTTAAATTGTTTTTATTTTTAATGTCTTTTTTGATATTTTAACAATTGAATAAAATGTTTAGATTTTTTACAAATATATTTATATGCTTAAAAAAATCAATCGGGTGTTTAAAACTATTAAAAAGGTTACCAAAATTATTCTTTAAAAGAATTTTAAATAATTTTAAATTTCAAATAATTTTATTGCATACTTTTAGACACATATTTATGGGTTTTTAAAATCGTAGGATTTTTTAAAGCCCCCCTTAATATACATATATATTTATATTTTTAGCTTAATTATTTTCTGTAAATTTTGTAAACAAAATAAAATATTTAAAAAAAAGCAAACACTATTCCTCAGACAGCAGAAACCGAGTTTCTATTCGGCGGAAGCGGAACTGTGCCCACGGAATACACACACGTGTGAGCCTCTCTGTGTAAATGTTTTGTAACCCCAGTATGTAGATATAGCCACATGCTACATGTATATATATATATATATAGATGTTTTCTGGCCGGAACGGGGGAATCTCTCGCTGCCTGTTTCTCTGATTGTGTGCGACATGAACCACAGGGGAAATTAAAGATACATTAAATGCCCGCAGGCAAACCGAGCGGCATTCTGTCGCCCAGCCACGCCCTTCTACTTATCCTGAATATCCTACTTCAGCCGGAATCCAACACATTCTCCCACTCCACTTGGTGCTTGCTTTCAAGTCTTATGGGCAATTTGCTGTCTTCTCCCGGACCGGCATTTATTGCCCCGGCATTGTGTCCGGCTAGGAAATTCCACTAATTAAATTATCGACAAGTTTTGTCGCATAAAAACAAACTGTTGCCCCGCTCTGCCAAATAACAAGAGTAAAATATATATATATATATGTATATATATATTGTATATATATACTAGTAGAAACAAAGTAAAAAAAAATAAAGGAAACTAAGCAGAAATAAAAGCCAGTGGCGGGTGGGCAAGTTTAATCAAAGTTTGCCTGCTCGATTTTAATGAGGAACTTTTGCACATAAATAGAACTTAATTTTCTATTACTGAAAGCACCGTCACTTTGCCCACTTCCCTCACTTCATTCCCTCTCAAGTAAAGAAAAAAAAAAAAAAAACAGCAACAACAACAAAAGCCCGCTGTCATACCGGTTTTTTGTGGGGTGGCGGCGGCTCGGCTCAAGTGCCCCCAAGGTCTGGCCCCCCCAAAAATTGTGTCGCCAACGCCGAGAAAATATTGCTCGCCAAAACTTTTATGTTTTAATATTTAATTAAAATTTTGTGTAACGTTTTGTTAATGAATTCCTATTTGACGCGCCCGTTGCACGTGTCGCGTCCCAGCCGCAGGCACTCTCTCACTCTCTCTCTCTCTCTTAGTTTAAGACCAATATCGAGCAAGTCCCCAAGTCCAGGTCTAGGTCCAAGCCCAAGTCCATCCGGTTCCATTGACCTTACCCCCCATTCATTCCGCCCAACCGAAATTCCATCACCTAAGCAAACGGTGGAAAGGTCGTTCGTTGCCACTCATTGTGTTTGCCTTGGTGATGGGACCAGTGTTTGAAAGGGAATTTATACAAATTAATGCCATTGTTTAGCATTACTTTAAATATTAGGTTATTCATTTTTTCCTTTTCAAAAATTATCTTTAATTAAAAAGTTTGAAAGTTGAAAGTTTTTTAAAATTAATTTTTATAGATACTTACCAGCACTTATGGCCCAGCTTAGTGTTGAAAATGTATTTATGAAGCAACAATACCAGTGTTGGTCAAGACGTTTAAGCTGAAATTAAAAATTAAGGATACAATTTTAAAAGGGATAGATATATTTTTAGGGAATCGAAAAATATTTCAAATTAATATTTTAAAGTTTTTTTTTAAGGATAACAGAGTGTTGGTTAATGTCTTAAACTATAATAAAAAAAAATAAATAATATCAAATATAAAAAAAAAGAATAATTAAAAATTGAAAAAAACAATAATTAAAAATAAAATTAAAAAAATTTAATAATTAAAAAAAATTAAAAGTAAAATAAAAAAATTTTAGTTTAAGAGTATTAGTTATTGCGGAAATTATAAGAAATTAGTGCTGGTTAGCAGTTTAAAATACAATAAATTATAAACCAATTTTAAATGTCTAATAAAATTATTAAATATGAAATGTAAACCGTGAAAAATGTGCTCAAATAATAAAAAAGCCGAAGTTAAACAATAATAATTTTAAATTAATTAAATATAAATATAATAATAAATTAAATTTTCAGCAAAAATCTTCAAATTTCTTAACCATCTCTAGACTTTGATTCCCATTTTCTATAAACTCTCTCTTTTTCTTGTGTAAATGGCAAATTTATGAAATGATTTTAATTAGCTCAACCCAAAAGAACACTAAAATATATATAAATTTATATGCACAAATATATATATGTACATATTTTTTGGGGGAACCCAAGGGTCTCCAATGTTTGACCATGTTTATACCATTTTAATTTGGGCCTACAGAAAAGTTTCGGTTTCGACAGGAAATCTGCCATTGGAAGGCATCAAACAACAAACACAACATGGGGAGAAATAAAAAAAAAATTAAGGGAGAAAAAAAAAAAGGGAAAACGAAGGGAAAAGCGAAGGAAAAGCGTTGGGAAAACGTAGAAAACATAATAAAATCAACTGAAAAGTTTCATTGTGGCGAGCTGTAAAGCTGCAAAATGAGTGAGTGGGCTGGGAAAATTCGGCAGAAAACTGGGTATATGTGGTGGCTCCAGTGGGAGGTGTAGTAGCATGGGGGGCGTGGCACATGCCAGCGTAATGAGCAATTATAACAACGGCAAAACAGCAACAACTAGAACAGCACAAAAAAGTTATGACTGCGCGACGCTTGTCAAAAAGGTTTGCTGGAAAAGCCCCCAACCAGCACCGAAAATCTGTAAAAGTTTTCCCCCCCTCTCTCTACACCCTTGCCCCCCCCATTTTCCGCTGTTGTTTGCAATATTAACTGCGCCCGGCGGAGGATCATTAACTATGGATATGTTCTGCGGGATGTCCAACAAATTGAGTTGTAAACTTTTTCGCCCGATTTTTCGCAGCGAGCAGCTTGCTGTCGTGCATGATATATGAGGTTGTTAGTTCTAATAAATTGCAACGCTTTTCCTTAGGGTGGAAAATATATATTGTTACCTAGGAATATAATATATATAATTTCTAATAATTTTAATAAATTTTAAGGATTTTAATAAATTTTAAGGATTTTAGTAGTTTATAAGGATTTTAATAGTTTTTAAGGCTTTTAATAATTTATAAGGTTTTTAATAATTTTTAAGGATTTTAATAATTTTTAAGGTTTTTAATAATTTTTAAGGATTTTAATAATTTATAAGGATTTTAATAGTGTCTAAGAATTTTAATAATTTTAAGGGTTTTAATAGTTTTTAAGGATTTTAATAGTTTTTAAGGATTTTAATAATTTATAAGGATTTTAATAATTTTTAAGGCTTTTAATAGTTTTTAAGGATTTTAATAATTTATAAGGACTTTAATAATTTTTAAGGTTTTTAATAATTTTTAAGGCTTTTAATAATTTATAAGGATTTTAATAGTGTCTAAGAATTTTAATAATTTTAAGGGTTTTAATAGTTTCTAAGAATTTTAATAATTTTAAGGGTTTTAATAGTTTTTAAGAATTTTAATAGTTATTAAGGATTTTAATAAATTTTAAGGGTTTTAATAATTTCTAAGGATTTTAAATTTAATAAATTAGTGAAATATTAATTATCAAATATATTTTATTTTTGAAATATAAACCTAGAAACTGTAGAACATTTTAAAAAAATATAATAAAAAAATATAAAGTGATATATATTATATATATATGTATATAGTATAGTTACTATGTAATATATCTAAGAAATAGGGATTCCCTTTCCTTTTTTTTTTAGATATATTACATGTTCTCTAATAATTCTAAAAATATATCTAAAAAAATATCTAAAAAAATTTGTATTTATAAGTATCCTTTCAATAAGTATCCTTTCAATCTATTTCCCAACTTATAAAGCTACAAATAATGAATAATAAAGACCAGACTTTTAACAAGTTTAACGCGTTGCGCAAAAGTTTGAAAATTAGTTAGCGCAATGCAGGGCTTTCGTTTTGTTTCACCTTCTGAAGTTTTTAATCAAGCGATGTAAAGTTTTGCTAAATTTTACCTGTCAGAAGTCAGACAGAGATAGACACACCCAAAGAGAGAGAGAGAGAGAGAGAGAGAGAGAGAGAGAGAGGGGATGAGAGTCCATCAGTTTTGGGATAGTTTCACAGCTGTCAGCTACTGACCTGCCAGGCATTATAAGCAGAGAGTCGCCGAGTCGTTCATTTTGATATCGGGCGAGTGGGTTTATCCCCCCAGAGAGCTTTGGACAGCAGTTGAGCACATTAAAAAGTTAGCACATTTTCCTGCCATAAAAATGAAAGTGAAATGTGGGAAAAACCACAAAAAACCACAAAAAAAAAGAACCCTGGGCCACCGCCACCACTCTGGAAAATTCAACTCGGCTGAACTCGATGTTTCTACTTCGGCTAATTGCAACTAAAAAGTTGCTCATTAAGCTGGTCTCGCCTGGATAAAAGCCCCACAATTTCCACCCACCAACCCCAACCCCCCTCCTTTTGCTCCCAGACTGGTGCTAAATACAATCAAATTAGTTGTTTCCGCTTTGAAATTATGCTACTTCCGGTCCGACAAAATGCTTCCACGTGTGCCAGCTCTGCCCTTTTCTTTCTCTTTTTTTTTATTGTATTTTATTTTCTAGCATTTTGTGCCCAGCCTTCCGGTGGGGGGTGGCTCTTGGGCGGATGGGAGACGTCAGCGAATTGTCAATGATTTTCACCCGGGGAATACCCTTAAAAAAAGAAGGAAAAACTCAGAGGCAGTGAGTGCCTTTGATCCGGAATGTCGTCGTTGGAGTAATCTCGAAGGAATAAAACAAAACAGCAGGGATAACAGGGATCAAAATTAGGTCAAGAGGGCTTAAAACATTTTTTTAAATATTTATACTATTTTAATATATATTTTATTATGCGTTTTTGATTGAGTCTGTAATGTTAAATGTTATTTTTATTTATTTATATTTTTATTTTTAAATATTAAGCATTATTGGCAAAAACTTTTATTTGTTATTTGCAATATAAATACATAAATTTATAAATTTTTGATTGCTTTTACGGAAAAACCCTTAAAAATGTTTATTATGATTTATGATTTTATTTATTTATTTATTTTAAAATTTTAAAAGTGTTTAAAAAACAATTCTGACTAAATTATAATGCCTTTTGAAAGGTATAAATCTACTTAAATGCCTTAAAAATATTTGGTAAAACCCTAGAAATTTATTTAATAATTTCAAAGAAAGTTTTGATATTTTACAACATTTTATTATTAATTGTGCTTAAACTGTTCCTCTGGTTGTGACCAAAAACTGAAACCAAACCCTTCGGTTGACCCCAAAAAGTGTGCTACATTAAAATCACATGAATCCACAGATGATAGTAACTGCACACACACCACAACACATACACACACCACACACACTTGTCTGACCAACGATTTGTAAACGAATTTGGTCCGCACTTTTGGGTCTCTGCATTTTTTATTTTTATTTATATTTTTTGTTTTTATTTTCACAGATTTCCAGGTGGGCATATTTTGCATACATATGCATGCTCCACTCTCTCTCTCCTTTTTTTTTTTTTTTGGTTATCTTTCAGGCAGGCAAATGGGTGGAAAATTGGGTGTGAGATGGCTAAAGACGAACCTGAACACGTTCCTGTTGTTCTACACACACACATTGTGGCATTTGGGGATTTATTTGCATTTTACTTTTGCCGCCCTGCAAATAGTTTGCCGCAATCTGTGCGAACTTCTTGCCACTCTCTCTCTGGGTTTTCACCGGGAAATTTATGAACTTTTCCATATAGATATTTTAATATATATCATTTTTTTTTTCATATTTTTGTCATATTTTTTGTTGCTTTTCAGCATTTTTTTGCCCTAAGTAAATAGACATTTTTACACTATTTTTACACTATGAACACAGTTTTTGGCATATTACGGAGTCTGATTTTATTTTCTCTTTGCTTGTCGCTTGCAAATTTGTTTGTGATTCTTTTTTCTCTTATTTTTTGTTCTTTATTTTTTTTACCGCATTTTTTTCCTTATTTGTCTCTCTAATTTTTTGCTGTTGACGTTTGCATAATTTTATTTGTTAACTTTTGTGAATAGCTGCTCCCTGAGAGGGTCAGGCTGTTCTATTATTTTGAATATTATTTTTTTATTTTTATAGAAATTTGTTAAATTATTTAAAATATTAAAAAAGTTTTTTTATAATTTAATAAGAACTCTAAATAAATTTAATTCATATTAAATAATTAATATTTGATCAAGAAATACACTTAAAAATATTTTACATAGTTTTTAATCTTTAATCTAGTTTAAAATTTATTTCAAATATTATTAAAAATTATTTATAAATATATTTGTATATAAAATATACTGAATTAAGTACCCGTTAAAGTTGCTCCTTGTATTTCCAACATAAATCATATTTGTCGTCAATTATTTATAATTAATTATATAAACAAAAATGTTTTCTTAATAAAAAAAAAAACATATAATTAATGCTGTGACAAGTTAGAAATCGATTATACAAATATCAGCCTTTATATTCGCTATTATATTTATGTGCATTTATGTTTGCATTTCGGTTTTACCTGCCACATCCTGTCAAATGAATG